GGGACTATTTTGCAGACATGCCACAAACTAGCGCTGCGCCCTCCCTGAGTGCCACTCCAATTCCCAAACCTAATCTTATGTACCGCTCTGCTTTCTGCTCCCTCACTGATCTGTGATATGCTACACGTAGGCTGCCTGTCACTTGTGACACATGTGTTGTGTTACCTACCTACCTACCATCTTCTGTTGCCAGCATCAGAAACAGGATGTTGGGCTTTATTTGAGCCATTGGTCTGACCTAATATGGCAGTTGTTTTATGTGAAGCAGTGCCAGGGCAATATAGCACAGTAGGCAATACAAGATGACTTTTCAGGTGAGATTTCAAAGACTTCAGAATTAGGATTATTTGTCATCATAACTTCTAATCTTTTTCACATGTTTCTCATAACCCACCAGCTTCTATACTGAACAGGGGGCCATCTCGATTCCCTCATCTTGTCTGTATAAAATGCCTACTTGGATCCTAGGTGGTTTCATCAGCTGATGCACATGATTAAGCAGCTGTCAGTGTTACTGCTGCCAGACTCTTGCACCTGTCAGTGTATGAGGAGTGACCTCACTAAGATAATGTTGCTTATCAGTAGGTTTTAATATGAATTCTTTAATGTTAAATGAATGCTTTTTTGGCTTATTTTCATGTACAATGATTCTTTCAGAAAAAATGCTAAAGTTCAGAAAAGGGGTAAGATAAACTTGATTGGTCGATTGCAACTCACTACAGAGAGAATGCGAGAAGAAGAAAATGAAGGAATAGTCCAGCTAAGAATATTACGAACCCAGGCAAGTGAATTTTGACAGAACAGTGTAAATCTGCTCTGGTTCCTCTGTAATGTCCTCGTACATCATTTCCATGTTGGCAGTTTTCCAGACTTGGGGGATATGACACCAAATGGCTCATATCCCATTTGTGGGGTCATATATCCTGCTGCAGAAAATCAATTATAGAACTGTGGATTGCACCAGGAGTGGGGTTGCAAGTGACAGAAATGCGGGGAGGGCAGTGGTGTCACCTGTACAGAGATTAGGAACCATTGCTTTTGAAATGCTTCTCAAACAGTGTGTTTTGAAGCTTATCCTCCTGAACACCCCTCACAGCCAGTCTTGTGATACGATACTCCAAAGAATACTTTGTACTGCAAAACTGAAAAGAAACCGATTTCAGACTACTTAGTTCTTGTCCCTGTTAATCTTCAGGGAATTAGTTTTAAAAGTTTATCAGGCATTCATGCTGTTTTGAGAGAGAGAATTTCATGAATTTGTTCAACACAGGAGCAGGTTAAATATTCTGCAGCACTATTTAACTCGTATGCTATAAATGTCTATAATGCACTCTTATTAAATATAAGGTCTCTAGCCCCCATGGCTGTGAAGAAAACCTTTAGAATTTGAAACAGCTGTCAACTCATCTGTTGAAGTTTGATATACTTAGAGCCTGAAACCCTAGTTTTGAACTACCCTATTTCTTGCACACCGTTAACTTTTTATACTTTGGTCTTTTAATTACTAAATAACTTTTTTTTTCATTGATGGGTTATAGCAGAAATATCTGGCTACTTATATAGCTGGATGTA